TTAGCTTTCTTTCCGCGGAAAGATTGTCGATTTTGTGGCGTTTTTTCAAGGGCATCTTTCGTTAGTATCCATCTTCGCACATTTTTTTCGTCAACATCGAATTTTCTCCCTGCTGCTCGATTTCCGTGTTCTTGAGCGTAACGCACCACTTGAAGTTTAAATTTAGACGTATAACCTGCTCTTACTCGACCCATGTTTCACTCAGAACTAACCAGGCAAGTCAAGTAAAGGAGAAAAGGTTATAACTCTCCCCCGCAATGCCTTTGTTCCGAGCGGTACCGTTATTTTCTCTGTTTGCGAACTTAGGAATGTTAAACGTTGCCAAATTTCGGAATAATTTCTACTCCCGAAATAATATTCCAAGAAAATTATTTTTTCTATAATTTCTGTCTGAAAATTGTGCTGCGGCCTATACACGCACGCGGCCTATACATGCGTAAATACGGTATTTGTTGCATAAAGGTTCATGTGCTTATGACACCCTGATAAAATTTTAGTGTTGTTGGTAAATGTATTAGGTAATGTAAGATAAGTTAAAGTTGTCTCTGTGCCTAATTAAGATGACATGATATGGCGATGTATGGGGAACAGAGGTATAGCTCTGTCATTCTTGACCTCGGTACTAAATGGAGTTGATTTGTAAGCTTAATGCCCCGGCCCCTTAACCCGCGAGGAAATGGCCCCCAGTACCCATTGGATAAGAGGCTGTGTGAGCCCCAGAGTCAGTCTGGACACTGTGAAATAGCGAAAAAACTTTTGTTCCTGCTATAACAATTGAGCTATCCTGGGTTACAGTAAGTGTACTAGAATTAACAAAAGTAGGTAATATTACATAAGATTACAATCTTTAACAAAATTAATTTGTAATTAGCTGAATGAAGCTGAGTCTTTCTTGAAACTGAAAGAGTCACTGAGCTGGGCAAAGTAGAAGCCATTCCACACAGAAGTAGTCTCATAATTTCAAGTTTTTGAACTAAAATTTTGCATGCGTTTCTCATCTGCCCCATTCTTGAATGAAATACAGTGGGTGACACAATGATGGAAACACTAAGAAATTGAGTAACAGAATTTGTTTGTATTGGCTTCATTGGAAGAACTTCCATTGGCAACACTTAATGTTCTTCCATTTATTAAACTCTGTAGTTCTCATGACAGTATGTGTGAAAGAATAGGAAAATGGAAGACTGTCCGATTTTGTAAGCGGACAGATCGTTGGTGCATGTTTAGCTGCAACATGTGTGACAACAACTTCCACATGATTTCGAAGGTTATGTCATCATACACAAATCATGTGAAGGCAACATCAGTGGGCGAAAACCATCATTGACAGAAGGAGATCATCATATATTGAGAAGGATTGTTTTGAAAAATCACAGAAATACTGCAGTACAGGCATACTGCTGCAGAACTGAATATTAATCTTGAAGACCCTGTTTCCACAAAAACTGTCTGATGTGAGCTTCACAACTCCAACATCCATGGTAGGGCTGCAACTGCTAAACCTCTGATTACTGAAAGTAATGCTCACATGCATAAACAATGTTTGCACTACCATAAAACTTTGACATCAGACAACCAGAAACGAGCATGTGATACAGTCGAATGATTCATCCTTGATGCTGCTCCCTACATCAGGAAAGAGTTTACATTTGGAGAATGCCCAAGGAAGCCTACAATCCAGAATGCCTGGTTCCAACCGTGAAACACGGGGAAGTTCTGTGATCGTTTGGGTAGCAGTATCATCTTAGAGTGTTCTGTTGGTCCCATTATTACTTTTCATGGCCATATTACTGTAATGGAATACCTGGATGTGAACATGTTAGGTAATCAGGTGCATCCCATGATCCAGATGTTATTTCTGAACAACGATGCAGTTTTCCAAGATGACAATGCCCCCATTCACACAGCTGGAACTGTTCAGTCATGGTCTGAAGAGCATGAAGATGAACTTTAACATCTTCCCTGGCCAGCACAATCACCAGATTTGAACATCATTGAACCACTCTTGCCAGTTTTGGAGTCTGGAGTGAGGAACAGAATCCTACTTCCAATATCTCTGAAGCAACTTTGAAGATATATTTTAAGAAGAATGGTATAAAATTTCACTAGACTGTTCAAAACTTGTGTGAGTTTATTCCAAGAAGGACTGTGGTTGTATTGAAGGCAAAAGTTGGTCCAACACCATGTTAATAGAGAAATGTGCACAGTATATGTAATTGTTCCACTATTTTGTCCAACCCCTGTATATCCCACTGAACCCATTATCATTGTTCTGATCATCTTAATATTTGGTTAAGAGTAACTAATTATGACGCTCTTTATTTTATAATATTTCTCTATTATTCTGTCACTTTCTCTGTTTTACATCCAAATATTATTCAGTCAACCGTGCTCAAACTATGGTCTTTCCCATAAAATTAAGATTTCAACCATATAAAACAATATATAAAATTGTAATTTAGTCATTACATTTTTAGATAGGAGATAGGAAGTTAAAGTACTATTACCGAATGGTCACAAGCATTAACTCTGCTTTCAACTCCTTCCTGAAAACAATTTTCATTTGTTTCTGTCATTTGCACATATCTAAACTTCACACATTTTAAATTAATTTAGTAGGTATCTTTATATTGTAAACGTATTTTGCATTCTGTGGATGATGCATGATCTGTTTGTAGTTTTCTGCATGTTTATTTGAGAGCAAGTTCCTTATTACCATTGAATAAAATGTTTATGATGCAAGGCCAACAAACTAGCTGTGTAAAAAAATTAGTGTTTCAAAACCCAAACGAGTGAGAACTGGATGATTTAATTCAGACAAATCTAGCAGAATCTTTTGACTAAAAAAAAAAGCCTGTTTTGCCAATGATGATGGATTTTTCATAGTTTTCTTTATAGTATTTATGATTTGGTCCAATAAATTAATGTCATGAACATATATCAAAAGCTGATAAAAGTGAATTTAAAATAGTATGTATTCTGTATTCAGAATATATATAGTCTTTAATCCTTTGAAGCACAATGATGTGTACCACTTGCTTAATATTAACAAGAAGTTTTGGGAAACTAACTGCCCATTTTCCTTTCACTGTAATTTGAGTTATTGATACGACAAGTAAAAAGATAATTTTAATATGTATGTGCAATGCAGTCAGTAAAACAGTGTAATTTAAGAGGCTGTGGTGCTGGTATTATTGATAGGAGTGAATTAAAAAGTTTGCAATTAAAAATGGCTTCATGTGGCATGATGTACATACCACGTTTCATGAAAATGTGTAAAGGCATTCAAGCAATATTAAGGTTTTTGACTCAGCAATTTGTGAGGCTGTAATGTCAGTATTTCTGATATGAGGGATTTGTGAACTTCCCCGGTGAGATGACCTCTGTGGTATGATATAATTAACCAAGTCTAGAAAACCGAGATTAACGGCTGTTGGATGCGCTGACCATGTGACACACTCTATCCGCAAAAGTTGGCACTAACTTTGTCGACAAGCGGCGGTCGCTTGGTCAGTGTAGTTCACTTGCGGACTACAGGCCACAGAGTATATACTTTCACAAAACTTGGGACTACAGGTAATTACAGAGCTATCGCTGATCTACACACTTTACAGTTCACCATTCCACATGCACTAGGATTCTCAGTCTCCACTAGTCATATCATGACAATGGATTTATAACAGTCCCACTGTAACCTGAAATCACATTTAAAGTCATCTTTTCACATGCTAATTCCTTTCTTGCCATTCCTCTGTTCCCAGGCTCATTTCCTGGCAATCTTGTGTCCCAAATTCAACTGCATCCACTGAACGGCCTCAAATGACATTATTGATTTAAATTATTATTATTATTATTATAGCTTCATAAATTGTCGCTTGAAATTCTTTTCTACCAGAGAGCCCTTAAATTAAATGAAACATACTTCTTGGCTGCAGTTTATAAATGTAACATTTCAACCAGTGAAAACTTCACTTAGCATTTTCATAAAATGTTAGATGGGGAAATTGTTGAGGGTGTGATCACTGCACTTCCTCCCTTCTTGAGGCCACCTTGGACATGTGGTAGCTCATTGAACATATTGTTTTCTAAAATTCTTCTTTCCAGGTAAAACTCAGACAGCATTTGCCCTGATAGGTAAAGGAGTAGTCGTAAGTGGTTTTTGTACTATGTTCCTGTATGCATCTGAGCTGTTTCCAACAGTATTAAGAGGTGTGGCCATGGGCCACTGTGGCTTCTGGGGAAGAGTTGGGAGCCTTATTGCACCACAGCTACTGTTTTTGGTAAGTGTGAAAGTACAATTGAATATGATGGCAGAAAATATATTGACAGCCTGCTTCTTATATGATACTTTCATAGCAGGATTCCCTCCCAGCTAAACAATGCTTCACAACATTGCAATACTATATCATTCATTAGGTTGAACAAAAATTAATAAAAGCAGATAATTCAGAATATATAAAAAATATATTTCTATCAGACAAAAAATTATTAACCTGAAAGTAAAATGCATACAATTAAACATAGCTTTCCCATGAAGAAAGTTGTTTTCTGGGATTTGGCACCGTGTATATGTGGTGTCTGCTTTTACCGTTCTCACGGTCTTGTCGCTTGCAGATTTCTTATACTTTTTCTTCTACCCTGAAGATGGAGGCGATACGTTCCTCCGAAACGTCGGTTAACACCACATATACACGGTGCCAAATCCCAGAAGACTGCTTTCTTCATAGTCACCGCCGTGAAAGCCTCAAATCTTACATAGCTTTCCCATAATCGTTGTCATCGTTGTTGTGGGGTCTTATGTCTTTTGTTGTTCGTCATTACTTCGATGACAACCCACTTCTTCAGAACAGTTTGTTGGTCCTGAAAAGGACCATGGTTGCTGAGATGCTTGACCAGTGAGGTAGCGCGGTGCACGCCAGTAGGGAGAGAGGTTAGTTGCGGTGGTTTGACTGGCTACAGCGCAGCCGTTGCTGGAGGTTGCTTGACCGCCGTGCGGCAGGTGAGTTGAAGTTGCGTGGTCGCGCAGCGCGGTCGCAGGAGTGATGAGGCAGTGGCTACGCCAGATGCCCAGTGGGTCGGACAGGGTCACGACCACCGGCGAGTCCAGGCGAGGTGCTCCAGTGCGTCGGGTGTGAGAACCGGAGGGCCGAGGCAGTCGTGCCTGGCGCAGCCTGCCGATGCCTCCGAAGACCGAGCGCTGGCGACAAAGCCTGCTGGCTGATGTTGCTTGAGTGTGGCTTGATCGTAGACTGAAGTCAGGCTAATGCTGCCAGTTTGCGGCTGCTCCTTTTTTTACACTGCTCGGTGGGTGGAGCGAAACTTGAAATTGAGGAGGAAGAATTTGCAGGGCGCTGATTGGCTAGCATGCGTGATGATGTAGATGCGGAGCTAGCAGCGAGCACAGTATAAATGCGAACGTTTGGAGCAATTTGATTGGTTAGTGCGCGTGATGGTGAAAAGTGATGTGTAGAGTGTGCGTTGCAGAAAATGCGTGATAATATGGGATGTTCCCACATCGTCATCAACATCATCATTTTCACCGTCACCACAGTCATCAGTTCCGCCACCCTTCCTTTTCCTTCCCTCATTATTTGTCTTGTTGAACTGGTTAGAATGTTAGGCTAGCAAAACTGTTGTGTCAGTTATCATTCAAGGACTGGTCTTTCCTTTTCTTTCCTGGTCATCCTCTGTTTATTTTGCTAATGGATTTGAGATATGGTTCTAACTTTGGTAACTCATTTCACTACATTCTTCTTACATGCTTTTTTCCATGTTTTTAATGACAGTCACTATGTCTTCACTGTATTTTCAACGTTCTCTAATCCTCTTATATACCTGCATCTCTGATAGTCCAATTTTATAATTTCCAGCATTATTTTAAGATATTAAGTCTGTTCTACTTGTAAAGGGGCATGCAGTAGCATAGTTGTTTGAGGCACTGGTACATACCAGAAGGTCATGGGTTCAATTTCCGATAAGGTCATTGCACTTTTCAATTGACCTAATCCTTCCAGCTGCACTATGGACCTGGGGTTGGCTCAGCCTCTAACAGAAATGAGAACCAGGAATCTTCCAGGAGGTAAAAGGCAGCTGGTGCATAAGACGGACCTCACAGTCATCTAGAGCCGATTGTCTAAAAAATGTGACAGCCTTGATGTCACGCAACCTTATGAGTCTGCATGGCCTTTTACAAGGATATCTTTACTTTACCTTTATACTATTTCTAAACGTTGTTCAGCTGTCTTATCCAAAATCCTCATCTCACTTTCATATCTGAGTGTTGCCTTCAATGTTGTATATTCTCAACAAACACAGCTTTAATTGAGGGAATGATTATTCTAAGAGAAGAACGTTTTATATAGGATTGTAATTATTGGTTTCGCTGTTTCTGTAGGGTGAATATACACTGCCAGCAGTTCCACTAGTAATCATGGGTGTTCTGGGAATGTTGGCGGGACTATCAGTACTTGTCCTTCCTGAGACACTAGGGCACCAGCTGCCTGACACTGTAGAGGAAGTTGAAATATTGGTTAGAAATAAGCACCAGATAGAGAAAGAGCTTCCACATAGTTAAGCACTATACAGCAGTAACAACAGCTGTTTTTTTAAGTGCTGCTTGTATTTAACAGAAGAAAACTATGGCCTGGGCTCGATCCCGGGTCTGGTCAAGTAGGACAAAGTGCTGCTGGGGCAGGTTTTCTCCGAGTACTTCAGTTTCCCCTGCCAATCTTCATTCCACCAATTGCTCCACAATCACCTTCACCTATCATCTGGGGCAAAAAAAAAATAACAGAAGAAAACTAAGAAATTAAGGATGTTTGTTATAAATTATGAGTTATTTTATTATATCGACATTGTATCAGGAATCGTGATGCAGGTAACTATAGTCCTACCACGATATCATGCAGATATGGAGAAAAGTTACAGACCTTTTCTTTCACATATCTGTCAACTGACATCTATATCTGTGCAATTTTATTCCAGTCTGAAAAAAAAAAATATATTTTTATTATAAACAGTATTAGTCCAACCCTGAGTCAGTTTAATTAAATTCACGTCCTCACAGTCATTTTAATGTCAGTATATTTTAATACTCTTTTACTGCATCCTAAGTTTTACAAGTAATTTTCCTGGTTTTTGTTCTGTAAGAAAACATTAAGTAGATGGGATAATTGCCTGACATCACCCATCACTGTGCAAATAATATTCGCATGTATTAAAGAAAGAACCCATTAAGGGTCAAAATACTTTGCATGTATGTCCAGTATACTGGGATTTATATTCAGTTCTTTATGCTATTCTTCTGGTATCTATGTTTAAAATGTTGTGTTCAGCCAGCATTGTTTGATCTATCAACAAACATAGTGAAAAATAAAATCATTTGAAAAACCGCCTGTTCATTAATTAAATAATACATACATTTCATTTCATAAGTCCAAAACAAATGAACATGAAGGTCATCATATCAAACAAACAAATACAAAAATTTAAACAAACACACAGATAACAGAATAATTAAAACTAATTGTTTATGTTATGCTCCACATATTCAGAAACTGTATAAAACGAATTATTCATAAGTTATAAAGACAGCTTATTTTTAAAACTAATTCTATCCTCTTTAAAGCTTTGAATGGTTATGGGCAATCTGCTGAATAGTTTAATAGCTGTAAAAGCAGAAAGATTCGAGTTTGGCAAATATAATTGCTTTCGATTTCTTGTATTCAAACCATGAACATCTAAACCTGAACAAAATTTAGTTTGATTATCAATCACAAACATCAACGAGAGAATGTATTCACATGGCACTGGCAGTATATTCAGTTTCTTAAAAAGATCCCGACATGAGTCTCTAGGTCCCGCTCCAGATATAATCCTTATTTTTTTTTTTTAATTTAAAAACTCTAACATTATTCATTGAGTTATCCCAGAAAATTATTCCATACTTAAGAATAGAGTGGAAATAAGAAAAATACACCATTCGTAAAATTTTTTTACTCATAAAATAAGATAAACTCCTAATTACAAAAATAGCTGAACTAAGTTTAGGGAGAATATACTGTACATGACTCTTCCAATCCAAATTCGTATCAATTTGCAGACCCAAAAATCTTATCACAGGAACTTCATTCATAAACAAATTCCTGCTAGCAACTGCCAGAGAGTTATAAGACTGTTTTAGAGCAAATCTAATAATATTAGTTTTAGTGATATTTAAGGCCAACTTATTAGCTGTGAACCAATTTACAATAAGAGACAGTGTACCCATGACTTTATGCTTAAGCTCAGCATGATTATTGCCGATAACCAAAATACTGGTATCATCAGCAAAAAGAAAAACTGTAGCCAGTTTATTAATATATGGAGGCAAATCATTAATGTAAATAATAAATAGAAGTGGTCCCAAAATCTACCCCTGAGGAACCGCTTGCTTAACTCTTTCCCAAGATGAAGAATAGTCCTGACCATCATTAGTTTTAATGTACACTCTCTGTTTTCTATCCAATAGATATGATTTGAACCAGTTTAATATACAACCCCAGACACCATAATGCTCTAGTTTAGATGTCAATATCTCATAATTAACACAGTCAAAAGCCTTAGCAAGGTCACAAAAAATAATGTACACTGTGAATGGTGTAGTGCTCTATATAGAGAGGAATGACAAGAAATGTACTGCTATTAGTCCAACACAGACATAGGAATCACATACGTGATTGCTGACAGTGTCATTTCATCAACAAACATATGAGGTAAGTATTCATTTACAACATCCATATTTTTAATTTGTTACTTTTTTTTTGTGTCGAAGTAATAAAATTGTGATGTTTTAACCAATTTGCCTCTGTAACATGAAGGCGGAGATAAAACTCCATGTATTCTTGACCTCAGCACTAGATGTGGGTGATTAGTTTTTGTTGTATAGTATAGTATAGTATTTATTGCATTCAAGCAAATCCAATTACAGGCCAACACCACTGGACACAGAACAAGTCAAATATCTTCAACAAATGCTCCAACAATGGAACTAGTCAACATAAAATATACATCAACCTAAAATATACATAACACTATACCATGTTTAATTGTAAATAAAATAAATTAAAATTGTAATAAAAACACATTACATAATAAATTCATTCAACTTAGTAGCTTATATATCTCAAACCATAAAAGATCACAACATCCATCAACTATAATGAGGTATGTAAGTTTTGAGGTTTTCACGGCGATGACAATGAAGAAATTATCATTTATTATCTTATCATTTAGAGAAAAGCTCTTGGTATACATTAGAGTGGAGGCTGAATAGATCTAAGGGGTATAAGTATTGTCACGTGTTTAGTGACTATCTTGGGGTTTAGATCGGTAATTAGATTTATTGCGCCTTTAATAATCGTGATTACAAGTAGCTATAGTGCTAAAGCTAATTCACACACTCTGCAATTCAGTACAGCATGCACTAAGCCTTCTCAGTCTGTTGTGTCTTCACCAGCTGTCTGGTGTAGTTGAAGTTGTAGATCTTTCAGCTTCCGTGTTCACGTCCTTACTGGCTGGCGACTGTCTCAAAACTAACTTGGCGTTGCTACGCAGTGCCTTACAACAATGAGAACTGCTTCGCCTCCACTAGGGACTACTGTCTTACAACAGACTCAGACACAGACTGGTCTGTCTGCCTGAGTGAAAGTTACTTTATGACTGGCGGTTTACTGACAATCAGTTCGTCTTGGCTCCAAGCCCCGTGAGGATCAAGATGAGTTCTATTTTGTAACTGAACTGGTCATAGTTCTTATGTAACATCTCCAAAGACAGGATGGACTTGCCTATTTTGAATAGACCTCACCTTTGTCAAGTGTACATATTGCACATAGCATATGTATACATGGTTATGGGGAAAACCTTTTTTTTTCGCGGGAAGCAGTCGGTCAGATAAAAGTCATAATTTGGAACAAAAACTTCTCATAGGATTTGAGACGTGTCTCTGAGGGTAAAGCCACATGTATATTTAAGTCTTGCATGTGTATACTGAACTCATAGTGCCGCTTCTAAATAAAATTTGCATTAAATGCTATGACTTTGAACGGCCTATGAACTCTAGCAGCCATTTTGTTTCTCTGACACAGCTTCACTAACTTCACTAAGCTCTGTCACGATCTGTTGCACTACAGTGGCGACTTTTGGCGTGCCAGTATTGCTCGAACTGGGAGCGTGTACTGACAGACCTGTGGGTTTGTCGATGTTCTAAAAGACAACCACGTAAATCTGTAACAATTGTATATACTAAATTGTATAAATTGAATGTACACAATAGCTGCGAAGCTATGTCAAAAGTTGGCTGACACTGAAAAGAGCAGTTTGTTCCACGGTGAGTGCGCTGGTAGAATTTGTTCCTTTGTAGTAGACCAAGTTTTTACGGCCGTTCAGTTGGTTTGTCCGGCCGGTAATGTGATGCTGCGTGCGTCTGTATGAACAGCTGCATACGGCGCCGTTACTGGAGAGTTGCGACAACAAAGTTGGCTGCCTGATCTCAGAGCGATGTTGCTGGAGAGTTGCGGCAACTACGTTAGCTACCTGGTCGCAGAGCGAGGTTGCTGGAGAGTTACGGCAGCCACGTTAGCTGCCTGGTCGCAGAGCGTGGTTGCTGGAGAGCTGCGGCAGCTACGTTAACTGTCTGGTAACAGTGAAGAGCTGATGACTCTGATGACTGATCGCTCTGAACTGAATGTGATCACTGATGATTGCAGAGAAGAGCAGAAGATTACTGCCGACAATCAGACGGCACGGTCACTTTTGGCATCGGGCCCCGCCTGGGACCCATGGCCATATTTTTGTTTTGAGTGTAGACTTTTTCTTTCTCTCTCTCTCTCTCTCTTACTTGGTCCTCCTTAACGATAAAAGGAGTGGTTGGTCTTTCTTTTTTATTGTGTTCACTTGCTACACCTTATGGAGGAAATGTGATATACACATCTTTTTTTTTTTTTACTTATTACACTACTCACAATATAACTGATATATTCTATTTTATTTTAATACTAATATGTACAGGGACATCTGTCAGTGTAGGAATGTGCAGCAGCCTATGCATCAATTTATTTAACAATCCGAGACAGCAGTTAGACACTTGAACGGTCGTAGGCCTGACCGCCGCCAAGTTTAAGCCTCTTATATTTCCTATGCCTGGCTTCTCCTTGTCCAATTGTACGTACTTTTGGATTTTCGTGATTTAGGATGACATCTGCCTGCCTTCTGCATAATTTAGTTATGTATTCATACACGTACGGAATTTTTAACGCCAAGTGCAAATCGCGGATCGGTGTGCGCCCGTCAAGATTGCCAATAGGTCATTATTGATCTAATTAGTGCTTTGTACACGATTAATTTAATGTGTGTGCTCAAATGCTTGCTTTTGAATGTAGAGTATATCCTAATGTACGTGCCCAAGGCCTTGGCTGAGGTTTTCTCTAGGTGCAATCTCCATGTCATCCTCCTATCGCAGGTGACACCGAGATATTTTATACTATTAACAAACGGGATGTTCCGTCCGTTTAGATGTAGGGCGTCCTCAGGCATTCTACGCCTTCTGGAGAAGTAGATAGCCTGAGTCTTCCCTTCACTAATTTTCATGTTCCAGTGCTGACACCATGACCCCACGACAGTGAGACCACGCTGGAGTTTGTTGAAAACTCGTCGCTCATGTTTCTCTGTTGCGTATA